GGGGATTATTATTCCTAAAATTGGCATTTTCTCAGTGTCCAATCCCCCACACACCCACGCCTGGCGCCTTGCGTTCACACTTGGCTGTAGGCTGAGAGGTGCTCTGTTTCCCAGGGAAGCCAGAGCAGGTTTCTTGTGCAAAGCAGTTCGGCCCACAGAGGAAAGAAAAGCCCCACAGTCAAGAACACCCTAGATTTCCTGGCAGGACGGGCTGACACTGGCCGGAGCCGGCTCACAAAGGCCTCCTGGCTCTGTGTTCTGTGGCAACATGCTGGTGGATTGGGGGCGGGGGGCGGGGGGGGGTTGTTAAACATTCACCAGCATGGGCTTCCTTTGCAGATCAGGGGTCAGCAGCCTTGAGACTGCAGGTCCAGCCCACTGCTTGTTTTTGAAAATTAAAGTTTATCTGAAGATAGCCATGCCCTCTCATTCACATACTGCCTATGGCTGCTCCTGTGATACAGGGCAAATGGACTGAGAAGCTATAGACGCTCACTGTGACTCATGACAGAAAAAATTGGCAACCCCTGTTCTAGAGTTTAATAGCAGTTAGTTCTGGATGCATTAAAATTTTCAGATTGAAAAGAGTTTGAGGAGAGGTGGGCAGGTGGGGAGTTACCTTTCAGTAGTTTTTCTTTCCTTTTCCAGGAGGGAGCCCCAGCATGTCCTAATCAAGGCCGTGGTTGTATCACAGAGGTGCCCATTGGGTCATGGGACTTGTCCCTGAATCTGAGCCATGGTTTGACCGTACAAGGCAGGAGCCGGATATCAGGGGAGCCAGCCAGAAGTCATTCAGCTCGCCTCTTGGGTAGCGATAACGTCCTTGAAATGGTAGAAATGCCATGCAACTCAGGCTGGTGCTGGGGCCAGGCTGTCTTTGCAAACAGTTTGCAAAGTCCCCAGGCATCTGGCCCCTGGGTATACTTCCCAGGGGTGGCCTTTGAAGTGCCCGCTGCCCCAGGCTTGAGGACCCTCCCTGCAGGCTTCCTCCCCCCGGCCGCTCGGCTGCTGTCTCACTGTCCTGAGTCCAGGCTCGTCTTCCTGGGCTGCTGCGTGGTCCCACCCCCCCCCCACCCCCATCCCAGTCCGTCCTTCCTCAGTGCCCACATGACAGGCAACTTGCTCTTCTGGTTTTCAGCAGTTAACAGACTTTTCCTTGGAGTTGATACTCTCACGTTTTTATAAATTCAATAAATAGAACTTTTGAAGTAGACAAGCAATGACTATGAGGGTCGCTGTCCTAATGCTTTTGCTGCGGCAGCCTGGGTGGGCGCCCACAGCAGCCCACGAGCAGAGGCTGTTCTCTCCCCCACCTTGGGAGACAGCTCTGTGGGTCAGGACCCAGGGCTTGTGAGATCACTTCAGTAGATCCTCAAACAGAAAAGAGTAACAGAAACTTACCAGTAGTTGCGGTAGTGAGGGAAACTGTTAAAAAAGAAACTTTTGTTTCTGTGTGTGTGTGTGCACATGTATACATAGCCTGTGCAGAAAAGGGTTTGGATCTCTGGCCCACATCTGCTCACATCTCTCAGGTGGCTCGGGCCTGTTAGCACAGACACGTTCATTGTGTTACGGGACCAGCAGCATGGCCCTGGGCAGTGGGCGCACTCCTGCCCTGGCACTCGCTAGCAGGATTTGGGCTGAACCAGCCACTGTCTGCACTGAAGACTCAGTAAAAGGTGGGCTTCTAGGGCCCTGTGAGACCACACGCTCTAGAGCTCCTGGAACAGGGGTCCCCCAGCCCTGCTCTTCACCACCACGGGCAGCTCCACCTCTTCCCACTCCTGAACTATCCCTTTTCTGATTTTCTCAGCTTTCTTATTCTTTTCCTGACCCGTTTCCCCCTTCCCTCACCCTTGCCTCTTGCCTTTGGTAGCCTGACAGTGTTGCTGGAATTCAGGCTAAGATGTTGGCTGGCTCAAGGCTTTCAGGTGATTCCTAGTGTGGGTGTGGAGTGACTTTATGAATCTAAATCACAGGTGAATAAGTCATTAAAACTTTTTCTCTCTCTTGAGACATTGTGGTATAATGTGCATATTTAAAGTGTAAGCATTGATCGGTTTGGGTGCATGTGTCTATCCGTGGGATGCCAGTGCTGAATGAACAGAGTCAAGAAGCCACAGATACTGTGGCTGGGTGTTCACTTTTCATCTCGCCTAGGAAGCTGAAAGACGAGGTGACCGCTGCCCCCACTGATGATAAGTTAATTAGAAGATAAAGAAGAGCAGGTCTACAGAGTGGATAGTTTTGTTTGTAGAGCCCGGCCTCCACTTCTGAATTCTCTACTGCTCCCCAGCACTGAGAACTTCATTTTCCTCCATTATCAACAGGGGAAGAAGCTGGGTATGAGTATGCGAGGACCTCTGTCAGGGATTTCTTTGAGCTTCTCAGTGGTCTGGAGAAAGGAAGATAGTCCATGAGTGCCCACTGTGGAAATACTGCTGGGAGAAATTGAGACAAATGTCACCCTGCTGCCACGTTTTCAGGAAAACCTCCGTTCCAAGTGGTGACCAATTTCCTTGCAAATTTTGGGTTCTTGGCTAAAAGATAGAGATTTTCTTTGTTTCTTAAAGAAATACAAAGAGGAATAAAAACCCTGTCCACAAGCGAGAAATACTTGGTGGACCCTCAGCCTCACACAGCATCTCTGTGATGTCTTTTAAACATCCTATCATTGAAATTTTGCAATATATTTAATTCTGTTGTAATGAAAAGGCCTGTTGTTTTTCCTGCTCTTTGTAGGGTGGGGAAAGGGGTTGGTCTGTACTTCCTGGATGCCATGTTAGCTTTCAGGGGTCAGAAGACTAGATCTCTTATTAATTGTGACAATACACTGATTTTTAACAGGAAGAGAAGTGGCAGTGCTGACTTCATATTGACTGTGAAGGTCTCTCTCACTCAGCCCAGATCCTGGATCCTCTTCCAATCATAGTGGACTTACCCTACTAAGAAACAAACCCTAATTTGCATTTTGTTGTTTCTGTATGTGTAAATAAGGTAAAGGAGAGCAGTGGTGATGGGGGGGAATGGGAGGCCAATAATAAATACCTCCATTCTCAGAATGAGGTCTAAGAAAATACAACGGCCCCAAGTTTCGGAATGATCAGCAGCTGTCCTTGTCCAAGGCTTGGTGCACAAGCCTGTCCTTAGCTCACAGTGGAGCTGACAGACTTCTCTTATACTTGACCCTGCTAAGAGCTGGGACGGCTGTCCCCAAGTGCAATTACGAGAAGTAAGGCTCTTTTGCAAGGCCCCAGAGCAGGTGGCCCAGTGCCCTGGCTCTCAGGCTGCACGGTGGCCCTCCCACCAAGCCTTCTCCTTTCCCAGAGCTTTTGAACAAAGAACATGGCATTTCCGGTGCTGCATGGATATACCTGAGGCATCTAGATTTCATTGAGTTGGGAAAGAAACCAGAGAAATGGACCAAGGGAACTTTTTGGTTCTGTCGTGTACTTGAACCAAAACACAAGAATGGGATCTGGTTGTTCTGGGAGCTTCCTCTGATTGGTGCAGTCTGGGCTCTGTTCAGTGGTTATTCTGCCTAGAATATCTTGGTCACTACCCTTTCCCCTTTATGCTGTCCCTTTCTGTTGGCCATATAGGAAAGAACAGTTTGTTGAAGGTGGAAAGATTTCCAAGACCTGTGCAGCCCAACCAGCTTCCCTTTTGTTGTGATGATCCTAGGCTATTAGCTCATTTCCGTGCACCTCCGAAATTCCTCTGTGGATGTAAAAAGTTCGTTGGCATCCTGTTCTTAGAAGTTCAAAGGGCCTGGCTGCCTGTAAGCAAAGGGCACCAGCGTGTGTCTCAGAGTGTGCTGTGGCCTGGAGGAAGGAGTCTTTCCAAAGAATGTTTCTTTACTTCGTTCCTAATTGTTTGTGTGTAAATCTATTTATAGTAGATTAAAGGAGAGATCCGGCCATCAGTGCATAATGCTATAATTTACAGGGGCCCCAGCCAAAGCGTTGAAGTTGCTTACATTTTACTATTGCCACAAATGGATTGCTGTAAAGGGTCTTGCTCTTTCAAAGGCAGTAAAAACAAAGAGTGATGGAAGGAGGCTTTTTTATTTTTTAAATGCGTGTAATCACTTCCATGTATAGCTAATGTTGAACCAATAATGGAATATAAAATGGTGGACTGCTCACTGGGCATAATTGAGAGGGCTTTAATGCAGTAGACAATGGCCCAGGACTGGATCTAGGTAGAGTCTCGATGTAAAGAGCGTGTCTGAAGTGGCCTAGAGATGAAGAGGTGGTGGGGGAGTGGCGAGACTGCCTCTTATCAGCAGAGGCAGCCAGTGCTGGGATCAGACTCCCATATTGTCTGTAGGGTTTGGGGGAGGGCTTCCTGACAAATTCCTGCTGGTGAATCTTTCATTACGCATCTTCACTAAAAGGGACACACATGTAACTTGTCTGTTTTCCATAGGTTGTGCAGCAAAATATGCAGCCGGAGCTGCCTGCATCAGGGTGGTCTGCTCTTCTCTCTCCTCCAGCAGATACCCCAAGCTCCTCAGAAGGCGCTCTCTGCCTCTTAGGAATGTGGAGAGCAGTGTCTTCTGCCTTTTACTGTGTGTATTGTTACAGTCAGCAGCATTGAACCAAATCACTTATTGCAGGAAATTAAGTAGTTGTTGTTTATGAAGGAAACCTTCTTGGACAGCATCCTGCAGGGCAGAGCACCAGCCTGCCTGGCTGGGGCCGTGCGTTTAATTTCCCAATTACGTTCTGCATTTATGTATTGTATGGCAAAATTGTATTTTAAAACATCAGAACACCTAAGTGAAACATGCACTTTCTTCCCCTAAAGTTGACTGGCAGCGCTCTTAACGAAGAGCATGATTCCTTTCTTTGTAAAAGACGTTAAAATGAAATTTTAAAAGTCTCAACAGTGTTAACAGAGTAACTTCTAACAGGAAGAGTTCTCCATCATTAAACTTGTTAGGCCACGGAAACCTACCTGTTTGTTGCTTATGGGATTTTCTCTCTTTTCTTAAGGTTCGGCATCGCTGGTGTGAACTCATTGTTAAGCACAAATACACAAAAGCGTACAGAGACGTGGAGAGGTTCCTTCAGGAGGATCAGGTAAGTTTCATTTTTCAGCAGATGGGGATTCTTTAAATGCTGTCCCTGACTGTGCAGTATGCTTAACATGGGGGCCCGGTTTGTTGCCCTCTCTACTTAAATAACAAATACTTCAACACTTGGCAATGATTTTGAAGAGTTGGTAGGCGCATACCTACCCAACTTTTGAGCTTTTTTCTGTTATCTCTTTAGAAGCTCCCCTGGTGTGATGGAGCTGTGGCCCACTGCCGTTACCATATAAAGCATGGGCAGACCTCATTACATCTTTGAACCCCAGGTTCGTTAGGTGGGGACTGTGGCCCAGTGATGCGATGGTGTGTGTCTGGGGCTGAGACTGGGCCCGCCCCGGCTGGCTGGGACAGTCTGGTCTGTGTCTGCAGCTGCCAGGCCAGGCGGGCCCCTGTGCTGAGCTGCCTCCTGTGAGGACTTTCCTCATTGTTCACCGAGGAAAGCGGTCCCCTTGCAGGGAGCCCGTGAAGCTGTTTGAAGATGTCTTCTTCGCCACCTCCCTGGGCCGCAGCGTGGGCGTCAGCCCCTGCCCCACCCCCGCCGGGCGGGCAGTGGTGCTGCATGTGCCACGTCTCCTCGGCTGTGGCTCGCTCCCTCGGCGTGGCCAGCGCATGCCTCTGAGGGAGCTTTCTGCGGAGCGCTGCGGGCTGATAGAATGGAGCCATGTTTCTGTTGGGGTGGAGAGTTGGGGCAGCGCAAACAAAGGCTCTTTTGAGAGGACAGAGTACAGGGGGCAGCCAGCAAGTAAGGGCTCGTTATTCCCACAAAGAAAAAGACATGACTTTGTACCAGAAGAAATGTCACATTTGCACAGTGAAGCAAGAGGTGTTTGGAAACATGGAGGGACAAAATTTAAGAGCGACTTAAAGTCTGTTCTGAAAACCAAAACTGACTGCACTGTATTTGGAACCATGATCTCTGCCAGATAAGGGTTGCCATCAGCTTTTTCAGAAAGAAATTTTTGAGCTCCTCACCACCAAGTTTTCATTTCTCCACTGTCGTTGGAAGTTCTTGCTCCAGCAGAACATAGCATAGCATAGCTAAGCTTAGAACAAGAGAGAAGGCGGAACCAAAGGGATCTTTTTGGTCTTTCCGAACATAACCATTTTTAAAACTGTAGGAAAAACACAGATGTGATTTTCACAGCATTGTTTTCGAGACAGAAGAGCCAGTGTGTGCCCGTGGAAGGAGAGCAGGCGGGCTGGGCTGGGGCAGCAGAAGTCTTCCAGGGCGGCCTGAGGTCCCCCCCACCCATGTGACAGGTGGTTTTCATTTCCCAGCTGTGCTTGGAAGGAGGCAGATCCATGTCTGTGTCACACACACAGCACTCAGGTCTCCTCGCAACTGCAGGGGTTCCCATAGGTCAGTCGTCATGGGAGCCTCCCTGTCCCTGTCCCCGTCACTAGAGAAGTGTTCTCTCTGTCCTCAGTTCAGCCACCAGGGTTGATGGAATTGATAGCCGAGAATTCCTTGGGTGAGTTTCAGTGAGGAGAAGGGGACCAGAAACTGCAGGTTCCTGAAGCACCGCTCTCCAGCTGTCTGCCTTTTCTAGGGCCTTTGTAACTTCCAGCCCAGCAAGTTTGTGTGAAGCTAACACAGACTGTGCACTCGAGCGCATGGGGACACGTGATTCCTTTTCCTTATGCTCTGTGGCCTCTGTGCCTCCCACAGGCCATGGGCATCTACCTCTACGGGGAGCTGATGCTGAGTGAGGATCCGCGGCAGCAGCATCTCGCCCGCAGGTGCTTTGAGCTGAGCAGGGAGCAGATGGACAGATCCTCAGCCGAGGTGGTGGCTGAGATGTTATTTTAATGAGGTGATTCTCTCTCTCTCTCTCTCTCTCTCTCTCTCTCCCTTTTCCATTCTTCGGCTCTAGCTGAGATTCCTCCTAGGAGCCAAGTAAGTCAGTAAGCCAAACGGTGAGCCGAGAGCCCTGGTGGCTTCAGTCCTGGGCTCCTGCCCTGAGTGAGGGGTAGGTGGCATCTCATCTGGCCGAGCGGCCACAAAACCCTGTGCCGTCCACCCTCGCAGAACAGCCCCCTCCCCAGCGCTGTTTTGACCGCTTCAGGTTTTGTTATTTGGGGGAACAGGACTCACAGGAGAACATCTTGACTAGGTTAGAAGGTGAGCTGGAGAGCATGACCTCCCCACCCTACCCCCCAGTCTTCAGGGTGAAGGCTAATGTGGGGGTGTGTTGCCGGGCTGTCCGGCATCCTGAGCTGTGAGGAGGTGTGTGGGAACTTGAGGTCCCTCGGGTGGTCCCCCCTGGCAGGAGAGGCTGGCAGGGTGGCTGTGCCGGGCGCCTCTCCACACAGCGTGTCCACAGCAGGCTGCCTCATGTTGGAGCAGAGTCGGAGTGGGAGTCCTAAATGATTTAAACTGCTTCCTCTATTAATTGTGCTTGAAATTGACCTGTTAGATCTACATTCGAGCAGTTTTAACCGAATTCATGCTTCTAAATGTAATTTAGCAATGATTTGTAGGTTTTATAAGTAAAACTGTGGAATTAAAAGTATTTTTTTCTTTACCATTATCATTTCTGTGACTCTCCAGGTTTCTTCAAGGTTTACATGATAAGAGGGCATGTCTGGTTTTTTTTTTTTTTTTAACTTCAGATTTCATTCTTCATGTTGTATAGATTTTCTATAATTTTAATGGATATTTAATATTTTATGTTGATATTGTTGGACATTTAATTTGCTTCTAATGTTTTTCTCTTATAAAAAACCATTTCTGTCTAATATGTTTAACTGCCTTATTTATCTGAGAGAATTCTTACTACCGAGGAGGTTTTTTCCAAGAGGGTTGAAGAGCTGTGTTGGCCAGGAAGGGAAGTAGTGGGAATAGTTGCCCCAACTGTGTGTCTCGTAGCGAAGCAACTGTGTGCAGGCTTCCCCAGCACTCCCATCAGGCAGCTTGCGAACCTGTTCAGAGACAGCCCAGTTTAAAAGCCAGAGCGGTTACACAGTTACATGTTGCCAGCCTCATACAGTGATCAGTACAAATCGTATTTCTCTTTAGATTTGTCACTTCACAGTTTGTGTTTCTGGAAGCGTGTGAAGCTGCAGTGGCGCAGACTGTGCCTTTGATGTTCCCTGGCTCCAAGTGGTGGAAGGCCACCACGGGCTCCGCAGCTGTGGTCATTGTTCATTGTGCATTTTTGCCCCAAGCAGGCAGAGGAGTAGTCTGGTCAGGAGCCCCCCACCCCTCCGCACTCTTGGATGGACGTAGGGGCCACTCACATGCCCTCTGCCCACTCCCCGCTTGCTCGGGGAAGGACCGTGGCGGGGCTGCACCCTCCAGCAGTCGGGAATCCATCCCACCCCTTGAGGGTCCCCACAGACATCCCCGACACTTAGAACCTGCGCCCTGAGGGGCGATGGGCTGAGAGATTGAGCACGGCAACCCCCGACCAGCTGTGCATTTTTCATCTCCCAAAGCTGTGCTGGCATTTGTGTGGTCATCTGTGAGTCCTTTGATTTTTAAAAATGCTACCCCTAAGGTGCCGAGTAAATGAACACCAAGCAGAAGTAAAGCCCAGGCGGTAGTGTAGCAGGCCTGGAGGTGGTGTCGTCGCCTTGTGTCTGAGGAAGCTGGTGCGTACGATGTGGGCGGCACCGCCGCCCGGAGTGCTCTGGCTGCTTGGGTTCCTGGCATGCTGATTTGTGACTTAAGATTAAAATCACATTGCCAGGGATTACCACGCAACCACGACCCTGACTGCTGCTCCAGAAGCCGTAGTTGCGCTCTCTGCAGTTCGGGGAACAGACGCATCTCGTAGCTCCTCTCTGCAAGCAGAAGAAGCTGACAGCCTCGGAAGATGCTCGCCGGCCCTTTCCTTATGCCCAGCGACGACCTCTCTGACGAGGTGCAGAGCTTAGCTGATTGGTGAACAGTGACTGGTTTCCGCTTTGTTCACAGTGGCTAAGTTCTGCACCTGAAGAGAAGGTGAGATGGGGCCAGTTAAGGTGGAGCTGCTGAGGCAGAGGCCGCTGCTGAGCGGTCAGCTTGGGGCCGAGCAGGATTCTGGAGGATAAGGGCCCGCCTGGACCCAAGGATGCACTTTGTCCTGTTACGAATGCAGACATTTTGGTCCCAAAGTCTACAGAAATATAAATCCACTAAGTAAACATCTGTCTGAAAGTTCAAATGTATTGAAAGCTGCAAAATTATTCTTTTAAAAATCTAAAAGCAAATGAATCATAGACGTCCAGTAAGACCGTCAGCAGTAGATGGCATGTGAGTAGAGCTGGGTACTTTGAAAGGAGACTTCCTCTTGTGATTTCCGAGCGCGGTGAACTCTCTCTTGTGTTTGCAGTCCAGGTCTGCGTCTCTCCTGCAGCGCCCGTGGGACGAGGCCGCGCGAGCTCCCAGCCAAGGCACTGCTTCTCCGGGCAGTTGGACCCGCCCTCCGGTGCCTACTGAGCTGATATCAGTTCTCATTTTACACACTGGCTCAGTTCAGCAGGAACAGGAGTCGAGCCCTAGAGCAAAGCCTTCCTGTTTGTAAGTGCCCAGAGGCTTGGGAGCTGGGACTGCAGCTGCGAGAAGACCGGCCCGAGCGTCCGCAGCAGAGCTGACCGGCAGCGGCGGTGGCCCCTCTGTATGTGTCCTGTGTGTGGGGGTCGGTAGAGTCAGAGTTGTGTTGACACAAGAGAAATGAGCTTCCACCCGAAAAGGTAGAATGCCATTAGCGCCATGCGTGTGACGTGGACAGCGCCCACCTCTGTCATGGTGTACCATGGCCAGAAAGCAGGCGGAGTGGCTGCGGGTCTGAAACAGGCCGCCTCTCTAGGATCTGTCCTGTGACTGAAGCCCAAGTTACAGCCACCGGCTTTCACAGCCGTGTGTGAGCAAAGCAGATGGCTCTCAGTGCCGCTGTAAAGCCCATTCTCGGGCTGTGAGATGCACCCTGGTCTCTCCCTGTTCTCTGCTCATGGTCCTCTCTCCAAAGCTGAGAGCAAAGGTTACTTGTTTACAAGAATTCCTCCGTTGTGACCCGGCAGTAAACTTTATTGCTGTTTCCTTTTCAGGAAAGATCACAGCGAGAATTTTTTTCATGCATCTGCTCGTAGCCCTGGTGGGCCCAGGCTTGCATGGACCCTGGACATGAAAGGAAGAGCGGTGGGGCTGCTGAAGCCGGCAGTCAGTGGCCGCCTGCGCCTTGTGGGATGACCTCCCCAAAGGTCCTCACTGCAGAGCTTGTGTCAAGAGGCGCACCCTCATCAGCAAGTCTCCGTGGGGCCGTGTGATGCCTTCATGCCCATCCTGGATGAACCACCTCAAGATCCTGAATGTTAATTGAGTTTCCCCTTTGAGTTAAGTCAGTTCTTCCACCCAAACACGGAAGGTCCCTGAGGCACATGGGAAAACCCACTGCACCTTCTCCACCCATCCCTTAGCGTGTGGATTTGCATTTCCGCACTCCGAGAAAGCCAGAGCTTGTCTACTAGGCCCAAGGAGCTGCTGCCCACCTACTCAGAATTAACATTGATATGTCCATTGTTTAGATTTTCTGAAGTTTTAGTAACTTTTGATAGAAGTGCAGGATAAGATTCTTTAAGATTTGTTGATAATATGATGGATTCATGGTTTTTTATTCCTTCTTCCTGTTTACTTCTGAATTTAATACTTAAAAGAGAAAAGGGTGTAGTGTCCACATTCTTGTCTCCTCCTTTTCTCACCTCCCTGGTTCCTCTAGTGTTCAACGTGGTGCTGATACTCAGGGGTGGGGCGGGGGGGGGGGGGGGGCATGTGCCTCCTGCACCTGATAAAGGCACCGTCAGGCTTCGCCGTACGCCACGGGAACCTGTGCTAATGGTGCTTCTCTTTCCCACAAATGTTTGAAGTTAAGAATAGAAACTAAGCTTCCTGGGATTGCCCAAAGGGAAGGGTGGCCTTAAAACACCCCAGAAGCCACAGTGGTTGGTGCAGGCATGTGATGGATGGCGTGAGGCTCAGCTGAGCGGGAGTGGACCGCCGCTGCCCCCCCCCTCCCCCCTGCGCCATTGGCGCCTCGAGCCAGCCTGGGGGCGATGGGCAGCTCAGCACAGCCCTTCATTAGAAGCTCCTGACCTTCAGAATTATGTAACAGTGACTGTCATTTTAGAAAGTTGCCTGAGGGTTGATTCTTTGCTCTTACGTGTACTTTGCATATGTTGCTTCTGTGTGCTTTGTTTACTGTGTTGGTATAATAAACGTCTGATTTTTAAATAGGAATAAGTGTCAAAATGCTGTTACCTGTGAAAACGTGAAATAAGTGACTCTCCCCGGTTGGTATGTGTTGGCTCTCTGAGAGGCAGAGCAGCAAGCCTGGGGCACAGCCGACCAGTCAGCCTACTGATTTGGTCTTGTTTGACCACGTTTTTGTTTTCTTTAGAAACCACTGAGGCACGGCTGAGCTGCCCCGCAGTAGTTTTGCCCCAGACAGCGGGTCCCCTTGCCCCTGTGGTCCGCTGCCCTGCGCTGGTTCTGAGCAGGTGCGGCAGCAGGAGGGGCCCTCAGACCCATGCCGAGAGACAGCCTTGCCGGCCATGGCTGAGGGTAGTTTGCCTTTGCATCTATGGGCGCGGGCCTTTGGGGGGTGGGGGGGTGGCCAATCCGGCCGCACTGGTGTTCCCGTCTTCTGAGCTCCTGGGATGGTTGTCCAAGTTCCCCCCACACCTCCTGAGAGGCCAGAGCCTGGCTGACGTCAGCGAGGACACAGGCTGTGGAACTAACACTGCATTCTTACGTGGCTCATGCTGTGAAAATAGTTCCTGTGGTAAGGGGCAGGTCCTAGGACTGAGGCTGCATTATCAGCAGGACCTGAG